ACCTGCAGTGCGTCTCTATCACCTGCAGTGCGTCTCTATCACCTGCAGTCCGTCTCTATCACCTGCAGTCCGTCTCTATCACCTGCAGTGCGTCTCTATCACCCTTCCCTTCATCCATGTTCCTTTTATTTTGCCTCTGTTGACACTTGTAGTCTTTTTGATTCTTTGGTTCCTTTTGGTATTGCTTTGCTTTTTGTTTAATAATTTCATTTTTTAAAGAACCTCTGGCTGAATTCTGGGTCTGCTGCTGTGATTCATCACAACATTTTTACATTTCTTTGTACAAGACGTTATTTTTTTTTTAAGGAAGTTTTGTTTTGCCTGTGTGCCATAGATTTTTGTATTTTATTTTATTCTTTCATATTTTTCAGTTAAACGGACTCAGGGAAAAATGCAGATAAGAGCCATGACAGACAATACAACTGATTTTTTTTAATTATTTTACTATTTGAAAGCAGTGATCGGTAGGATCGTAGAGCTGCACAGTAATGCATTTTCTGTTTATAATAATGCACTTTCATTTATGTATTTATCTTAAGTTTATTGATATAATAAAAGTTTATAAATAATATTGATATTAATATAGGTCTTGGTTCAATAGGTTATGTTCATTTCAATATGTTTTAATAAACATTTAACCAGTCCGGCCCTCGGTGTATTTGACTTTAACATCCCTGGACTAAGGCCTCCATACATGGCTTGTGTGCGTTATCCACTGCCGCACCGAAGCATGCCCCAGCCTTTCTCAGTTCTAATGGAGGCCTATAGCTCCTGCCAGCAGGGATAAAGGTCAACCTCAGGCCTGAAGGTGGCAACGTATGGCCATGCGGTCAGTCTGTAGAGCAACGTTAGCTAATGGCCCACTGTTTGCTTCAACGGCAGGACAACTTACTGAGACAGAGGAGCTTTGTCTGCCGGTCTTGAACTCTTTGTCTCCAAACACTTGAATCAATTCTTTTTCCTTGTCTGATGAAGAAGTGCTGCATTGTCATGTTCACCATGCAGCCTGCGTCCAATGTCCATCAGTGAGGCAGCAGGGATTCATTTTCAATAATCAACTATTTATAAATGTTTTATGACTGCTTCTATCTGTGGTTACTACTAGGGACGCACGATATTGGGATTTTGGC